CTCAGTGGACTAAGTGCCTGGTCTGGCAAGCTCAGGGTCCAGGGTTCGATCCCCAGTTCTGCCCCTGGGGTGCGCTGAGCTAGCGACAGGCAGGGCGTGGTGGCACATGCCTCTGTAATTCCAGCCCTGGGGAGGCTGAAGACAGGAGGATCACTAGGAGGCCAAGCTACATAGTGAGGCCTTGTACCAACTACATAAATGAGGGGAAAAAAGAGAGAACCAGCTGGCTGCAGAGAGCCATGGGGGTCTGCAGGGCCGTGGCTCCAGGTGGCGCAGATCCACAGTGGCACTGGGCCTGTGTGCGCAGAGCAGAGTTGCCCCCAGCACTTGGGTCTGCTTATCCAGATGAAAGCCTGGCAGCTTGGGCTGTAAGCACAAAGGCCTTTGTCACACAGGTCACTGTGAGATGAAGAAGCAACAAAGAGCCTCATTCTCCTGCAGTGCTATGAGAAGCGCTTCCCACTCAAGAACAGCTTGAAGCCAATGGCCACTCAAGTGACTGGGCTGCTCAGAATGGCTGGCAGTGACGAACTAGAGCCCGGACAGAATCACACACCAAAGTCGCTCAGCACTGCCACAGCACGTTCGCACCCACGTGTCATAAACATACTTTTAGGTCTTCTTGTAAGGTGACTGAATATATATGAAGAGAATATAAAGGAAGTCTGCTTGAGGAGCCGGGGCACGGTGTGCTGGTGGGGTGTGCAATACGCCCGGGGACCTGACTTCCATCCCAGCACTCAATCAAGGCTGAGTGTCATGGCCCTCACCTATAATCCCACAGCACTTGGGAGGCTGAGGCAGGATTCCCCTGAGTTCAAGGCCAGCTTGAACTACAGTGAGATTTGCCTCAAAAAACCAAAAAAGGGCTAGGGATTTAGCTCAGTGGCATGGCACCTGCCTGGCAAGCACAAGGCCGTGAGTTCAATTCCCAGTACAAACAAACAAAGGCTACTAGACAACTAGAACAGTTCTCTTCATAAATACTATTTATATTTTTTAGGGGGGG